GGATTTCTGGCTACCAGGTGTCTTTCATACAGGTAAGAAGCTGAGATTAGAAGCAGTCTCCTAAAGGGAGTGCTGCTAATCTCATTTTGTTACCTGTATAAAAGACACCTGTCCACTGGAGCAATGGAGCAATCAAACAATCAGATTTCAAACTCTCCACCATGGCAAAGACCAAAGAGCTGTCCAAGGATGTCAGGGACAAGATTGTAGACCTACACAAGGCTGGACTGGGCTACAAAACTATTGCCAAGCAGCTTGGTGAGAAGGTGACAACAGTTGGTGCAATCATTCGCAAATGGAAGAAACACAAAACAACTGTCAGTCTCCCTAGGTCTGGTGCACCATGCAAGATCTCACCTAGTGGAGTGTCAATGATCATGAGAACAGTGAGGAATCATCCCAGAACTACACGTGAGGATCTTGTCAATGATCTGCAGGCAGCTGGGACCACAGTCACCAAGAAAACAATTGGTAACACACTACACCGACAAGGATTGAAATCCTGCAGTGCCTGCAAGGTCCCTCTGCTCAAGAAAGCACATGTCCAGGACCGTCTGAAGTTTGCCACTGAACATCTGAATGATGCAGAGGAGGACTAGTTGAAAGTGTTGTGGTCAAATGAGACCAAAATCGAGCTCTTTGGCATTAACTCGCCATGTTTGGAGGAGAGGAATGCTGCCTATGACCCCAAGAACACCATGCTAACTGTCAAACATGGTAGTGGAAATATTCTGCTTTGGGGGTGTTTTTCTGCTAAGGGGACAGGACAACTGCACCACATGGATGGGGCAATGTACCGTCAAATCTTGGGTGAGAACCTTCTTCCCTCAGCCAGGGCATTGAAAATGGGTCGTGGATGGGTGTTCCAGCATGACAATGAACCGAAACACACGGCCAAGGCAACAAAGGAGTGGCTGAAGAAGAAGCACATTAAGGTCCTGGAGTGACCTAGCCCATCTCCAGACCCTAATCCGATTGGCAACTCAAACTGTCAGCTCCCTCCACAGATTTTCAAATGTCAGCCACCAAACCCTAATGACTTGGAGAGGATCTGCCAAGAAGAGTGGGCCAAAATCCATCCTGAGATGTGTACAAAACCTGGTGGCCAACTACAGGACCTCTGTGATTGCCAACAAGGGATTTGCCACCAAGTACTAAGTCATGTTTTGTGAAGGATATCAAATACTTATTTCCCTCATGAACATGCAAATCAGTGCATAATTTGTTAGCCATGCATTTCTTTTGAATTTTGTGTTGCTATTCTGTCTCTCAGTGTTACAATACACCTACCATTCAATTTTTACGCTGATCATTTCTTTGCGAGTGGGCAAACATTCAAAATCAGCAGGGATCAAATACTGTATTTTTCGCTCCATAAGACGCACCTGACCATGAGACGCACCTAGGTTTTAGAGGCAGAAAACAGGGGAAAAAAATTCTTAACTAATGGACTGCAGACATGGTACAGGAGATGACCAGAGACTGCGGACAGCACAGGAATGACCAGAGACTGAGGACAGCACAGGGATGACCAGAGACTGCGGACAGCACAGGGGATGACCAGAGACTGCGGACACAGCACAGGGGATGACCAGAGACTGCGGACAGCACAGGGATGACCAGAGACTGCGGACAGTACAGGAGATGACCAGAGACTGCGGACAGCACAGGAGATGACTGCTGACCTTTGGGGAGGGGGGGGAGCAGGTACCTGAATTTGACAGGTACCCGCTCTTACTTCCGCGGAGTTGTTCTTTGATCTTACCTGTTCCTTTATCAAGCCACACGCTGTCTTCCCGGCTTCTGTAGTGTCGGCGCTCGGCATGACAGCCGGGTGCCCAGTGCGCATGGGCGAGAAGCACTTGCGCTTTGTGATTGGTCCGGCGGCTTCTGGGATCTGTCATGTGTCCCAGGTACCGCCTTACCATTCACAAAAAGCACTGCTTCTTGCACATACGCACTTGGCACCCGGCTGTCAAGCCCAGCGCCCACACTACAGAAGCCGGGAAGACAGCGTGCCGCTGGATAGAGGAACAGGTAAGATCAAAGAACAACTCCGCGGATGTAAGAGCGGGTACCTGTAAAATTCAGGCTTCCGCTCCCCCCCTCCCAAAGGTCAGCAGTCATCTCCATAAGGTCCCACTGCAGAGCTGAGCGGCCGGCCCAGTATTCTGACACGGCGGCGGTGGAAATACCGGACCGGCCGCTCCATATTCGCTCCATAAGACGCACTGACATTTTCCCCCCTTTTTTTGAGTGAAAAAAGTGTGTCTTATTGAGCGAAAAATACGGTACTTATTTCCTTCACTGTATGTGCCAAAATACATGAAATACATCAAACAGAATAAATAAATGATGCATGCAATGAATATGAAGCAGGAATAAATAAATAACCTTCAATACATTGTGTCAAATAGAAACCGTACTCATATGATCAATTCATCCAAATCTTGTGCAATGAAAGTCCCAACAAAGTGTCCAGTGTCTCAAAGGGGTTTATTTACTAAAGCTGGAGAGTCCAAAATCAGACTTTTCTTCTGCATAGAAACCAATCAGCTTCTAACCTCAGCTTGTTCAATGAAGCTTTGGCAATGAAACCTGGAAGCTGATTCGTTTCTATGCAGAAGGGAGTCTGATTTTGGACTCTCCAGCTTTAGTAAATAAACCCCAAAGTGTCATGTGCAATAATGTGCCACAATAAATGTATATATAAACCTAATTCAAACAGTGTCCCATATTATGAATCTTTATATATCACAAAAATCTTCTCAGTTAGTGTTCATTCCAAGGCAGACACCAAAAGTGAACCCTTCACCAGTCACACAGAATGACTCACTAGAACAAATGACCCTCTAACCAATGAGTTAACTCTCTCTTAAAGGAGAAGTACAGGCAAAGCTCTATTGGTTGTAAATCTCCTGTGGAATACAATAGTGCAGTTTATTCTGCACTCCTGTGACCCATTTTCAGCTGGCAGCAGGCTAAAGCCCGCTGTCGGCTGACGTCACTCAGCTGGTCCAGGCTGGGGAAAGATCCTGACTTCAATGTCAGGGTCCACCCCAGAGTCTGGAGTGGCACCTGGCTCAGCCTTTCAGCAATTTGCTGAGAGCCTAAGCCAGGCGCTCCCTCCCCCTCCCCTCCACCTCCAAAGCCCAACGCTCCAGTGAGCGCAGGGGAGGGGCAAAGCAGACAGCAATGACTGACAGTCACCACTCTCTGCTCAGAGTGGCTGTGAGAACTCAGCGATCCACGGTCATGTGATCGCTGAGTTCTCACACTTGGAGCCGGAGGCGGGACAAATGCAGCATCTGACCAATGCTGCATCCACCTAGGTAAGTATGATTTAAAAAAAAAAATAAATACCATACATCTCTTTTAATCAATGCAACACAATATCACAAGATATACAATGGTATATCTTCCAAGAGATGTTCTCAGTATAACTCAATTGAAAACAAATATGAGTGGAAACAAAACAGGACAATCCTCATTGCATAAAAGCATTTATTACTAAAATGACCTAAAAACCCAAAAAAGCACACTCAAATGAATCAAGTATCAAACTCTCTGGGAATCCACTCGCAGCTAGTGTGTGTGGCTGGTGTCAATACATTGCAAGGTTTTTTCGTGTCATTTGTCACTTGATTCATGTGAGTGTGCATTTCTGATACAACTTAATGCAAGTTATTTATTTATTCCTGATTCATATTTATTGCACTTATCATTTATTTATTTATTTGGTGAAGAGGGATTTGTTGTTGTTAGCGAAGCTATATTTCTTTATATAAATGAGGTTTAATGTTATGTAAAGTTATGCACTTGGGGGATAAAAGCTTGCATGCATGCATTATTCATTTTATTGGCAAGTACAGCTTGGGGGAGTTTATGACTGAGAAGAATGTAGGTGTTCGGGTAGATCATAGATTTAATAATAACATGCAATACCAAGCTGAAGTTTAATAAAAAAAAAAACCAAAACTTTCTTGCCATAAAACAGGTATAGACTCCAGAGAGAGTGGCATAATGTGTGGTCCTATATAAAACATTAGTAAAACCTCATCTGGAATATGCAGTTCAATTATGGACACCAGTTCACAAGAAAAGATATTGTGGAACTAAAGAAAGTGCAGAGAAGGGCAACCAAACTGATAAGGGGCATAGAGGAAGAAGGGGTTAAAAGGGCATGAGATCACCAAGTATAAATACAAGTGGTCAATGCCGCAAACGTAGCGTAGTTCAGGTCATTACTTAGGACACTCTTTACATTTGCAGGAAAGGAGCTCTAGCTTTCATATATAGAAGGGCTTCTTCACAGCAAGAGCTGTGAAAATGTGGAATGAACTCCCTCAAGAACTAGTTCTGGGCAGCTCAGTAGATTGTTTAAAATAAGAGCTGGATGCATTAATAAATATTCCCCAGAGATCTGGAGAATATCCTATTGCCTTGGGGGTCAGGAAACATTTTTTCTCTTGCTGGGACAAATTGGACCATGCTTTAACCACTTGCCTACCAGGCACTTATACCCCCTTCCTTACCAGGCCAATTTTCAGCTTTCAGCACTGCCGCACTTTGATTGACAATTTTTGCGCGGTCATGCAACATTGTACCCATATGAAATTTTGATCATTTTTTTCTGACAAATAGAGCTTTCTTTTGGTGGTATTTAATCGCCACTGGGCGCTTTACTTTTTGCGCTATAAATACAAAAAGTGCAAAAAATTTGAAAAAAAAAAAAAGTTTCTTTGTTTCTATTATAAAATTTTTCAAACAGGTAATTTTTCTCCTTCCATGATGTGCGTTGATGAGGCAGCACTGATGGGCACTGATAGGCGGCACTGATGGACACTGATAGGCAGCACTAAAGGGCACTGATAGGCAGTACTAATGAGGTGGCACGGATAGGCAGCACTGATAGACAGCACTAATGAGGTGTCACGGATAGGCGGCACTAATATGCAGCACTGATAGGCGGCACTGATAGGTGACACTGATGATGGGTACTGATAGACGGCACTGACTGGCATCACTGCTGGGCACTGACTGGCGGCACTGAGTGGCACAACCCCTGGGCACTGACTGGTGGCACTGACTGGCAGCACTGGTGGGTGGCACTGGTGGGTGGCACTGGTGGGTGGGCACAGGTGGGTGGGCACAGGTGGGCACAGGTGGGTGGGCACAGGTGGGTGGCACTGCTGGGCACAGGTGGGTGGCACTTCTGGGCACAGGTGTGTGAAACTGCAGAGTGGCACAGGTGGGTGCACTGCTGGGCACAGGTGGGTGCACTGCTGGGCACAGGTGGGTGATCTGCTGGGCACAGGTGGGCGGAGCTAGTGGGCGCACTGCTGGGCACAGGTGGGCGGAGCTTGTGGGTGGTACTGCTGGGCACCGATCATCAGGGCACTGATCATCAGTGCCCTGATGATCGGTGCCGATCCCCGCTCTGACAACTGCCAGTTCTCGGCAGTACTTTCCTCACGATCTGACAGCGTGAGGAAAGTGCAGCCGAGAACCGGCACTTGCATTTTCCTCTGATCAGCGTGTCATTGGACACCGCTGATCACGTGGTAAAAGGCCGCTGTGATTGGCCTTTTACCACATCACGTGATCAGCTGTGTCCGTAGGACACAGCGATCACGGAGATCGCCGGGTGCACGCCCCCTGGGGCGCGCAGGAGAGCGCGTTCTGGGAGGACGTCATATGACGACCACCCAGAACTGGCCAGCCGCAGTGCACCCGTCATTCGGCTATCTGCGGTCGGCAGGTAGTTAAAGGGTTTTTTGCTTTTCTCTGAATTAACTGCTGGCAGTGGGGTTTATTTACTAAAGCTGGATAGTTCAAAATCAGGCTCATGTCTGTATAGAAACCAATCAGAGTACAGGTTTCATTGCCGAAGCTTAATTGAACAAGCTAAGTTTAGAAGCCGATTGGTTTCTGTACAGAAGTGAATCTGATTTCGCACTCTCCAACTTTAGTAAATAAACCCCATAGTGTTTTTTTTCTTTTTTTATGGATTAAACTAGATAGATGTGAACCCTTTTTCAATGTGGCTAACTATGTACCTTTGTAACTAACTTTAGATGCTCATTAGGTAGCCTGTAGTCAGTAACAGATGTGATAAATGGTTTTCTGGTACAAATAGCGAACATGTGTTGGACAGAAAATTGTGTTGTGTTGCACTGTCATTTTCTGATATTATTGAAATCAGACACTGATGCAGATTTATGTTAGAAACTAAGGGCATTGCAGTTCACCATCTTTATTATTACTTCCTACAAAGCAAAAAGCAAAAGCGTAACAAGTTGGTAAACGCTTTTTTACTTTTTTTCACTAGATTTAACAGCCATCAGCAATTTGAACTCTGGGGTCTGCTCTGAAAGGTTTTCGAAGTTGAAAGGATGAATGATTAATGGCTTCCATTTGGAGGCTTAGGACCAAAATGGATTGTACTCACATAGACCGTGTCTGCACCAAAATAAAATGTTTCTGTTTGGGTTGTGGATATATACACCAAGTTCAGCATCTTACAATATCGTATTCTACAGAACCTCTAAATGTCAATATGTAATTCCTAAAGCTCCCTCTGGTGTTTTTTAGTGGCTGTTTCCTTAAAGAATTAGAAAAAAAAATCCCATTACTCTTGCTGTTTCATAAATATCCAATTTAGATTGAATAATCCATTCAAAACAATGCATATTAATTAACTAGCAATTGATACTTAAAAGAATAGTTATCAGGCTTCTGAAAAAGATAAATCTGGCAGCTATGCATAATTAATTCCAAATGACACAGAGAACAAATGTGTTCATAACTTACTTAACATAATGATGATGTAAGAATTGTTTACAGGATTCAATTTGCATTTAACAAGACATCTTAATGTAAGTTAATTATTAATGATTTCTTTCAATAAAAATCATGCTATTGTTCTATAGCAAATCATGTTAATAAGCTGTGAGGAAACATGTAAACCCTTAAAAAGTATAATATTATTATATAATACATAAAGAAAACCGTATTTAAAGATAGCCTGTACTAAAAGAAAATGTGTAGATAATTTTTTTAAAAAAGCATTTTGTTCGTTTGTCATGCAGACTCAATGACTTATATACTTCAGAGGACTTCTCACCTGGAACAAGTATTTCGATTTGGGATAAGCTCAGGGCTCAGACAGAACCAACATTCATATTAATTTTCTTGGTTTGGATGGTTTTGATCAAATCGAACTTTTAGGGTGTTTGACAGGAATTTCTCAGTCAAACATTCTATAATTCTTTACAAAAATCTATCATTGGCCAAAAAACGTACACCTCACATCTGCTCATGTCCCCTGTCTAGAGGTTGGGTGCATGACTTTAGCCATTAATAGTGTTTGGCCATATCTCTGTCCACACACCATAAAAGGTTACATTCCCAGTGCAGGGACGGACAGTCAACAGTATTGCAGGGATATAGAAATGTATAGTGCAGTGTGCTAGCACAGAGCTATATAGTGTTGTACATTCAGTAATATATTCATTGATGTTATATATTTTTTACACTGGTTCTTTGCAGTGAATAGCAGTTTGTGAGGCTAGGGAGAGTTGAGTGTAAGCCTATCTGCATCCACTGGGATTTCATAATGTCCTACATACTGTTTTTAGGACTTCTGGTTTGTTTTTGCTCTTTGTCAGTGACACTTATTGTTGCTGTGTAGCTGCTGTTCCCCTCTCCCTTTTTTTTTTCTTTGAGGATGTTTAATTGAGTTTTTTTTAACGGTACTATTTTTTCCCATTTTGTTAATTTAAAAGAAGGGTTTATTTTTCTAGAGTTTTGGGGTTGGTGTTTAGGGGTTTTTTTTTGTTTTTATTTAAATTTGTTTGCTTGTTTTCACTATATATTGTTCACTATATATATATTGCTAGGGTTTTGAATTTTTTATGGGGTCAGTAGCAACAACCTGAACTTGGTGGCACCGAAAAACCACAATCAACAGATTGTGGGTGCAATGCCAGTCTCCTAAAAACTTTCAGTGCCCTGTCTGCCCACACCTCCCAAACAGGCAAGCAGTTATTAAATTGCAGGAAGATTCAATGAAATACGAGGGCATTCATCAGTGTCCTTGCAGTTCATTGAGAACTACAAGCCATAGGCCGGGGTGGTCGATAGTACTTATAGTTAATTCATTCATACACAGACTCTTTTAATGAATGAATGAAGGGGCCGTCTGGGTGGAGCCACACATGGCCAAGCTGTGTTTAAATCACGACATCTGGTGCGGGAAGAAGATCTCCTGCCCTATGTCACCAGGTGGGGTAAAGGGGGAGGTGGCAGGAGCCAGAACATATTACATATTCCACCTTAAATGTTCCAAAGGTGAACTTAGCCCTTAATAATTAGACATGTGTATTTTGTTTCATTACAAATCGATTTTCAGACGAAAATTTGATTTTCGGAGATTCAGATGTATACGAATCTCAGAATGTACATAGTAACAAATGTCAACGAATCTGAAAAAAAGTTACAAAAAAATTAGCAATTACATTCATTTCATTCGGATGATGTGACATGATGCGATAGTAGTTTGGACCCATGGGGAAATTCATTAAAATTTTCAAATTAATTCAATACTTTAGATTTGGATAAATTTGTGATTTAAATTGAATTTGTAATTGTCACAGTAAGTTCAGTTCCACAAACTAATGCAATTCTTAGGTTTGAAAAAATTGGGGCCACGTTATACTTATTCCGCTGTGTCTGAAAATATTGAATACTTTTGATATATAAGTAATGAATCTACCCAAGGTATCAAAACCAAAAACCAATATTTATCAATCTTCTGAAAAAACTCCAAAATTGTTAGAATCCACCCGGACCAACAAATATACAAAACCAACAGAAAAAATACAACGCAAATTCCAAAAATGAATTGGTTCAATATAACAAATATAACAAAATGAAATTGTTAAGCGTATGAATGCATCCTAAACAAAACAAAAAATGAACAGTAGGAGTTAATAATAGCATGTAATGCCAAATTATGGTTTCTAAAGCTAACAAAATACTTTCTTGTATTAATAGAGGTATAGACTCCAAACTGAGAGAAATAAATTTACCCCGGTTACCATGACGACGCGTTTCGCACGATATATAGGACTATGATAAAGTACTATATCGTGCAAAACGCATCATCATGGTAACCGAGACTTGTTGAGATTGGTCTCCTTCCTACTGAGGATTTTCAATGGTTGTTCCTGGCTTCCTTGTGTTCCACTGAAGTCAGTTCCAGTGCGATGTGATGTCACTTCTGGTGTGCAATCTCTGGCTCCTCTCATGCTTCCTGTGGGGTTTCCTTTAGACCGGTGGCCTTGGACACCTGTAAACCATCTATTGTGGCTCTCTCACCTTCCATCTACAGAGCTCACCATCCAGTAAGCCACTCCCATCATTCCTTCAGTCTATGGTTTGCACCGATCCCTGAATGACATCCATTCATGGATACATCCTCATGGTGATTCTTCCTTTTATTGCTCCATTAAACTGTTTTATATTGTCTGCTGGTCATGAACATTATTGTTTTTTATTCTGGACATTCGCCACGAGCGCTCTGATTTTTTTTATGCTTTCCCAGTTAAGTCTGTCTGCATGTCTGAGCTAAGAGCAGATTGGTTTCCTGGAAGTAAATGCTACATGAATCATCTGCCCTTACTCAAGATGGATTTGGCTAGAAATGCTAGTGGGTGTTTTTCAAAGTAATTTTTTTCAACAAAAACAAAAAAAAAATCATGACTTAAACCTTTATTTATCTTTGCTCAACTTCACTGACCCACACAATGACATCACATTACCTACACTATTATGATACTGCTCATCATAGACTGGAAGATCACTGCTACACTCTGTGTACATCTATTTGGTATCAAGACAAGTGTGTCTTCATGTATATGTCTTTAAAGAGGTAGTAAATGTAAAAAAAAAAAAAACAAAAAAAAAACCCTGTAAGGTAAAGGCATAAGGCGATAGTATGCATTGCATTCTAGCACATTATAAAAGACATACCTGAGAATGAAGCCCTCCACCGGCATGCTGTCACCGCTGCAGAGGCTTCCATCTTCACCCGGACTTCCTTCCGGGTTCCTGGCCTTGAATTGCCAAGCTGTGATGAAGTAGAAAGAGTAGCACTAATTGGGAAGCTAGGAGTGGTATAATGGAGAAACACACTCCATTGTTTAAATACTGTATATTCCCAAATATCAGAAAACACATTGAATATATTCCCAAATATAAAAAAAATCTATTGAATATATTACACAAGCAAAATTGTATATGGTAACAACAATATCATTGCCCAAACATGGCCAGTGACCACATTTGGGCAGTGATGTCACTGCAATCCCTTCCACCTTGCTTACATGGCTAGGGATTTCTGACCATGTAAGCAATGCTTCTGTGGCAGCGGTTTTTGAAGGGGAAGCAACCCTTTGAAAAAGTCAGTAGATGAAACTAGTCAGGGTCGGATCACGTAAAAGTCGGAAGTGACAAGA